AAATAAATCCTTTAAGGACGAAAGACAGTCCTTATTTAGCTTTACTTGTCGTGTTCGGGAGAAATCAAATTGGAAAAATTAACCATTCAATGTTCTTATTCAGTAAGTTTTCATTCAGTTTATAAAGGCCATGTCTTTATCGATATTCATACCTATATCTGCAACCACTGTGATCATCGATACTTTGATATCAAATATTAATGTCATGACCATGATCATTGTATGTGACATGATGTCATATCTAAAATGAAGTCATATCTATAACTGACTTATGTGTTTGGAGTGAATAACCCAAGGGCGGCTCCAGATCCATTTTTTGGGAAGGGGGGCAAATGTTGTTGAGGGCAAACTATGGGAAATTTCATTTTGTCATAACCTATCTGTGGTGTAAATTTATTATGGGCTTTTCATATTCTTTGGGAAGTAAAGGAAATCAAGTAATCACCTAATCGCCTTTCTCGCATTATTTTACAAATCATGTAAAGGAAAAAAAGTCAAGCTGAGCTTTGCAGCTTTTCATCATGAAGATTGCAAATTAAGGAATAGGTTTGCGGTAGCACCATACAAAAATAGTATGTGTGGTCCTGAAAAGAACCGTATGGTACTCAAAGTTTCGGACAGTACACTCTGGCCGTCGTCAGCAACAGAAAAAACTCACTTGGGGGAGGGGCGTGGCGCCCTCTGGCCCCACTAGATACGGCAGTGAGTTTAACCTGAAACCAATACCCGAAGAACACATCTTAACGGTATAATGTGATCCGTCACAAACGTCGTCTTTATAAATAGGCCTAACGCATTTCAACTAGCATATGAATAATAAAGTCGTCGAAACTGCATGCAGGTCGGACGCTTTCATACAAGACACCTCCCCGTCGGGCACAACTTATCTAGTTGCCGCTCTATTTCAGAGGAAGAAAAGGATGAACTGGGTCCATTTTTGTGTGAATACATCTCAAAAACCAAACCAACTACATCCGCTCTGCTCTTCCAGTTCCACCTGCATAGCTATACATGCCGAATTCGCAATACAATCGGATATTACTCCAGTGTGTGTGTGGAAAGCGAGATGAGGCTCATTTGATATTGCATGATAGAGCACGAGACCCGCGTATAGGTGTCTCACATTTCATCTGTCGCAGCGGAAGAAACTGTATCTTGTTCACCGGGTGGATCTGTTTTCAAAAGATGACGGCGATCGGACAGAACCCTGATTCGTGACGGGGCCTCAGGGTGCAGTCCTACGGCAGCTGTCGGCTCCGTCAAGCTATTCCGCGTAATAAAAGAAAACAGAGCGGATGAAAAAAGTATGAAAAGCCACTTAAACATTATTTTTTGCTCTTGACTTCCTTCCACTCTCTTGTTCTTTCCATGGTCGTTTCGGATACGGTTTGATTGATGGAAAAATCGATGATAATGGAGTGGGGAGGTATAATGACCGTGAAAAACGACCACTGGTGCAGCAGGTGCGGCAGTTGTCCACGTGTGTACGGAAAATAGATAACTCCGGCTGCACGTGTAGATTATTAAATTAAAGGAAAACAAAGAAAAAAGCGAAGAATGTATGATTATAAGTTGCTTAATATTTAACTCATGGAAAACATAAATTACCTTATGAAATTTTACTGTCTGAATTGCAGGTATGATAACACCTTATAAGCCAAATTTGATTCCTGGTCGAATGGCAGGGCCGAATCAATCTGAAGGTTAATTCAGAATAGTGCAGATCGCCAAAGCCGGTACGAAGACGTGTGCCCGTGTTAACACACGTCAATGCAGCTACTTTCGTCTTTTTTTTATCTCCTAGCAAGCAACATCAGGCACCGACCTTGAATTTATTGATATACAAGTCTTTTGGCTCCAATCACGCACCATGCATAATAATCCCAGAGCAGGGGATTACTTTATTATGCCACATCGCACACTCACGCGTGGGAAGTTTTTTCTTCAGCGCTGAAACAATTTTAATGAAAGCCGTACTCTTTGTCCATTCGGCTAAAGGCAGTGATGATACAGGCAGACTTCTGTGCAGAATTCCTATTTGCAAGTATGACGTGCACTTCGAGAACATGCAGTAATTTCTTTATTAAATGTTAGAGACCGGGGAGATAACAAAAAGCGTGTACGGGTTAGCACTGTGGGTTAATTGTGTGGATATCTCAGAATTCCTCGAGAGCTCTTTACGCCATCCGATATCCTTCATCATATTGTTCCGACGCACTTTGCATCACAAACATCAAACATCACACGGCATCCTTTTATGCTTCCCGTGAGCATAAATTTTGTCAGGATGCGTACAGGGGAACCTTACGGCGGACGCAAGGCGAGATTTTTAATATGCGATCTGATACTGAAAGGAGAGCAAAAACCAAACATTGAATGATACTGAAAACGTTTTAATAGCCCGTCATCAACACTCAACGATAAAGTCATCAACGGGCCTACAAAGTTCTTACCTTACCCATCCCAGAGCGGTTTAGCTAGTGTTTCTTGTCCATCGGGTTTTGTTTGTCACTCAAGTGAACTAACTATGGTTCAGATTAATACGTTCAAAACCATAGCGGTCAGCTAGGTTTGCGTTATTTTTAACCACTAGCCATACCATTCACCACAGTATGCAAACTACAAAAAGTCCTCACACACAATGAAGAATGGGACGAGACTCATTATGCACTGCAGTTTTGACAGATTCCCTTCGTCGACCAAATTGCATATATCCTAATTGGCACATCAATTATACGTACATTACGTATGTGTACAAAATGTATCCTGTGGATTGTGGAACGAGTGAAATGTACCAATTCCTTTTGAGTGAAACAAGAACGAACAATTAGGCTTGTACACCGGTTGTGTAACGCTGAGACATTTCGGGTTATCTGTTTATAACGCCTGGAGAAGGAACTACTGAGAGACAAATCCCAACATTTCACGAATCACTGAAGTTAAAAGGCAAATCTCACCAACCAGAATATGCATACGTAATGAATACTGGTAGTTATAAATCAGTGTGATTTAAGTTGAATAATGCACTACATTCTAAATTGGGATAATGATTACTATTTACAAAAAAAAACTACTGCTGAACAGTGTGCACTATTTGGTTCTTCGATTTCTATTTCAGGCAGCGACGATAATTTTTTTCACTATCTAACAAGACTACCTAGATTAAATCACAGTGCCTATTTTTTTATATCAGTTCTGCAGTAACTGAAAAATAAAGGGTTTAATAAATGCCTATCCATCGCTGTGAGATGTGAAATTGTGGAGTTTCACAATAGCTCTACGAGACGAATTTCACCATGCAATATGCCGCATAGATGGAACATGAGCACAATCACTGCCACTACAGTGTTTAAACAACAAGACACAGACACACAAGCCACTGTTTGCTCAGAGAAAACAAAAGAGAAGACAAAACTGGTGTATGCACACACTATCACCCCCTACCGACTTCCAGTGAAACCGTGAAGCGTATCTTATCAATCTGATACCTTTACCAGCCCTTGCTTGAGACACAAGATAGCTTCTACTCCCAATTTAGTTTACTTTATTTATATCACTGGGGCACCAAAGACGATCGTCGGTGTCTAATTGGTGTCTCGCTAGAATAGGACGGTATTTGCCGTGGAAACTAAGATACATGCATAAAGGTATCTAAAGGGAGGTAGACCCCACAATATTGATAAGTATACAGGGACAGAGTACCAATATAAATCTCAGTCTGTTTTCCTGACAAGATGTTGAAAATCATTTAAAAGCAAATCTGTGTGTTAGGTTTGCTAATTTCCATGGAGGTATTGCACCTAGCACTGGAAGCTGTGGACTGATGATAGGGCAAAGACTGCAACAGTCACCTCATACCATTATTTTCTTATATACAGTCCAAACACGAACTGAAATGAATTTTTCTCTATATTGTGCATGTTCTTGCATCAGAGAGTATACTTCCAATTTTCTTGTCGCATAAAATGGCAGGGCGAAAGTTTGCATCATTAAAAAGATTTCAGTGTGTCACACATTCCCAATATAAATCAATACCAAGCAGTAAATTCTTTATGGTAATACATCGGGCTAAAAGTACGAAGTATTGAGGGAAGTAGAAATAGAAAAAAAGATGAAAAAGAACAAAAAAGAATGCTGCACTTTTCGTGGAAATAATGAATGAAATACTGTTATAATATGTGAAATAATATGTTAAATGAAATAAATTTGAAAACGAAACAGTGAAAGTAGACCAAAGAGCACGCTCACCAATTATAAAATCTTTAACAGTGGCAAGAATTCAATTTGTTTGAATGTAGAATTCGGTAACATTTACAATCTATCAGGGTCATTTTTATTCCCGACATGCCTCTATTCATTCCTCTTTGAAATTTATTGAATCACAGTTACCTAAACCAAGTTCGCTTACGTTGCTTTCAAAATTTATAATGTCGACAAATGTATCGGAAAATGTAAATAAATTTGTCCAGAATTGCTAGCCAAGTTTCCTGTTTGAAGAAAGTACTCACTACGTTTACTTTTGCGTGGAATTACAATGGTAGCAACCTTGGGTTATCTCGTTTCTGACTGAACTTTAATACGCCAGAAAATGTGGCAAACGCTGGTCTGATTAGGAAGTATATATAAACTGAATGCTCCATTTGAGCAGCCACTCGAGGAGTCCTACTGTTTTATCCTTACGAGCCTCCTTACTGCAAAATTAAGCACTAGCATGTTATCATGTCGCGTTGAGGTGTATAAATACAATGACTTGGTCAGTGTTAAGGGGAAAACGCCTTGGTAAAACGTATTAGATTACATCAATTTGCTAATGCCAGACCACATGCACTTTGCATTTTCTCTTCTTAAACGCATTCTAACCGTAATGTTGAGAAAACTGGAACTAAATAATTTCAATTTTTCAATTTTCACAAACATGAGTTTCAACAAAAAAGAAGAAGAAAGAAAAAACCAGCAAAGGTGGTGTTGTCACAAACAAAAGAATCATATGTCACAATTACCTTGTTGATCAGGAGTGTCTGGTATTCCACCCGCAAAAATTGTAATCACTGGTTTTTGACAGTTTCGTTGCCGCGTTATCACTCGATTCCCCTGCAGACCGCTAGTTAAAGTAACTCGATCTCTCCTTGCTGGTTCTGAGAAGCTTTGAACTCTTGTCGGCCTGTTGGATGCTGCCAGTCCAGAAGTAATGTCAGAAAGCTGCGACAGTTTGAAACAATAATATAGCCAACGTCCAAACCAGCCACAGCTAAATGGCAAAGTTACGCCTTCAGTCGATCCTTCCCGCCACAGCGCATGAGCGAGCAAATCACTGCGCCAAACATCGCGTGTTGGCGTTGTGTGGGCCTTCAGGTGGGGAGAATTAAAAAGGACTGTGCAACAAATTTCTTTTACGCTCTTTTGGAATCACACTCTAGCAAGTGGGATTTTTATTTATTGCAGAACATCGGGGTGCTGTCACACCTGAGTTTACGTTGCTATTTAGTTTCCGGTTGAATGACTGGATGCTGTGGGCGTACATGTAATTGGAATCTGGAGAGAATAAATGAGCGATGACGCAGTGGGGACTGGGGAAACTTCCTTTTGGAAGTACGTGTACAATAGAATGGCAAAGCCTCCGCTTTCCATGTCCCCAAAGACATCACGGAAACGATTAAAGCTGAAGGAGAAGCAGTAAGCCGGAAGGTATAACGTTAGTGCTGCCTCAGTAGGGCCACACCTGCCAGACCCCTTTAATGAAAAAGAAAAATCTGCATGACAGGAAGCAACTTTTCAACATGGACACCTTGATTTGTCTCAAATTCTAGTCACCAGATTGCAAATAGCAGGGGAAGACTAGTGATAAGAATTCGTTTTTGAAAATTTAGCTGAATAGCTTGTCATTTAGACTGGATAGTTTGATGACAGGAGAACAATGCTGTGTCCAGCTCTCCATTAAGAACACTATGCAATGGTCACTCGTGAATCCGAAAGACTTCGCCATATCTACACCGAGCACTGCCGGTTGAGGGCGTAGAGTACAATTCACCAGCGAATTTCACGTAGAGTTGTGTACTCCCAATATGAGCCATGATAAATGGCTGAATTTGGAATTCTTATGACCCAAAAATTACAAGTTCTTCGTTTTTGAAAAATAAAATGAGTAAAACTGGAGAGATTATGTCAGTCTTCAAATAAGTGACACCAGAATTTTAGGAATTTTCCTTAAAGCGCATCAAAATCCCAGCCCTAAACGCAGCCCGTCCATGATTACCCGCTACAGAAAAAAAAGATGGGGAATCCTGTAAAAACTCATCCTGATAGGGCTTAAAACACAGGCAATCCTTTATACTGACAGACCTGCAATCAATCTCGTTCCAATATTATAAATCATACTACATGTATAGTACTTAAAAATTGCCAATTTACGAATAAGCTCCGGACCATCCAGCAATCACACCTCACTGGAATTAGAGTATGAAACTTACAATCGCTGACCTCTACATATTATCTGGAATGCACACGCTACCATTGTCACACTCTATATTTTGGTAACACCAAGATCGCAGGTTTTAGTCCCCAAGTACCTCATTCAGTGGGTTATGCACTCCAGAATGCACCCTATTCCGCAGAGAGTTTCCCTCCAGCATATGTGTTGATAATGTCTTCATTGTCTTTCCCCGGGGCCCCTTAGGAAAACATTTGACGGAAACTTATGAGGCTACCCTAAGTGAGTAAAAATAAAAATGCTAAATGAATCAGAGCCTTTCATAGGTTTTCTGGTAAATTTAAGCAAAAGAATCTGAAGGCGAGCATATTTTTCGATCTGGTTCATATTGGAATTTTGTTTACGTTTATCGCATTTAAAATTGTTTTCATGCAAGCATAAAGTAGCTCTTTTTATTAATAGGCATTCCAGACTTCGTTTTCAAAAGTAAAAAAGTAATTTACATTGTCGGGTGTTTTCATTTCCTCTTAACATAAGTCTTTTAGCAAACTGTAAGTAAGAAAGTAATTTGGCTTGAGAATTTGCTTCGTATAATACAACTGTCTTAATTAATCAAAATAATTCCCTCGAATTATCATGTTGTTATTTGTGTAAGCGTGTCTGAAATTGAGTATGAACCTGAACTCAGGTTTCTTTCTTCACGTTAACAGTTCTTCTCACAATTCAAAACGAAATGTTAGCGAAAGTTGAAAGAAACAAATGTAGGATTTTTGTTTGACACAAAAATATTTCGTCTTCGATACACTTGCTCTGTTAACTTGTCTGTTTTTCCTTCCTTGAAAATCCACTTTTATACGCAAATACAAACCAGAAGGCGCATGCCACATTGACAAAAAACAAAAAAACAAACAAAACGCTATATTGTTTGGCAGATGATTCTCGACCAGTCTCTGTCTACGTTTTCCAAAGAATTTGATTAACCGAGCCAACTATTTGAATTTATTTATATAACGAAAGACTGCTTTAATAAAAGAAACTTAGCGACAAGTTTCGATGTTTGTCTGCTTAGGGGAGGAACTTAAACGAGCCTCGTATTAAATTGAACAATGTTTGGGCGAAATTACCTAGAAATACCTCTCACAAAACACTTTATTCAAATCTGTAATTAACCCGTAACTCAATTTTGGGGGTCTGATAAGAAATACATGTCGTATGTGTGAATTTATTTATAATGAAGAGCATACCAAATACTGGCGTAAACTTGGGGGATGAGGGATTGCCTAACTATCGGAGGGGGGTTGACACCTCTGGACACAAGGGGGTGCAATGCTCACAATCCTTATGTACATCTTTAACTAATATGTATTACACTCCTGAAGAGTATATCAAGGTTTTTTAAAAAGCTTTTCTTCATATTTGAGTTCTGTTGAATGCATTTTGGTTGTTGGGAAGTCTGAAATATTCTTCGCAATACCACATCTTTCTTAATACTGAGTGTGGAACTTCAATCACCATGTGCTTGAAAGCAAACGCGATTAATAAATTGTGCAGGTCTTTTGCAATCAGGTAGGTCTCTCCAGCATAACTTATTCCAAATTCTTTACTTTCATCAGTTGTTCACATGGTCACAACACGAGATTAGTGTAACCCTATCAGTAAGAATTTGATGAAGAAACCTGAAGAGATTAAGTCCATATCCATGTCCCATAATTCTTTATGAAGTAAATCTAATACAATTATTGGGTACAGTCAGTAACAAGAAATATAAAAGATTAACAAAGATGTTAATTGTAGTGAAATTTGAGCCTGCGACCTCCGGAACAGCATGTCAGTGGTTAGCATATTATTATAAATATAAATTCCTGCTTTGTCTTAGCGTTATCAGCTAAATCTCATGACAGCTTAACTGACATTCTGGGTAAAACAGGTCTTGATTTGTTATGGCCACTACGCCTTTATAATGGATAGGTCAGTTAAAATGAATTTAGCATCAGAGTATCACTGATACGTTGTGATTTTGTTCTTAACTAAAAAGTGTGACCTTTCAATAAGTAGCAAGACATTGCGTCAGATTGATTGAGACAGGTGCATAGAGCCCTTTTCAAAAACCAGAAAGTATAGCTAAACCACACGCGGGATGACGATCATCTCCTTGTTTTTACTGTTGATTAATAACACAAGGCCTGAAAGAAGCTTTGTAAGAGTTGGTTGAGTTTCCGATATTTGTCATACGTTCTAAGAAATCCCCAAACCACAAATAGGACTCATGCAAATCCCCATAGAAATTGTTACTTATTCAACACGTATCACTGAACAAAGTTATATAACCAAGACATACAGAGATACTGACGGCAGGTTACTCTCGTTTTCAAGGGGAGGTAGGTTTATCTCGAAAAGCTATATGCTCGTTTATCCATGCAATCGGGTCGTTGCCAAATCGAACTCGACACATATGATTTGAAGATGTCGGCAAATAGCCTTTTGTCTTTAATCGAAAATGAAGGAGTAATGTACGAAGTGGCTCCCCCAGTGGGCTTTGTATCACAAAATCCCCTCATGGTAGTTCAGTCTTGTAGAATCATTTCATACAGGTTGGATAGCATTAATCATCGACAGCTTCGATTTAGGTTGGATTGTTTCTTAGATAGCAATCTCATTCAATTTGTCATTTCAAGCAAAATGTTTTCCCTTATAAGGGCGACGACCCTGAAGGGACAGCAACAGGGAAACCTGTGCTGCTGAACTGCGATTAAAAAAAAATAACAGCAGGACATATCAGTTGAGGAATTAAGTTCAGACAAATACAATTGGACAAAACTGAACGTTTCTTCCTTTTAAGCACTATACAAACCATTGCCGTGTTTCATTTCACTTACCGTTCAAATTAAGATTCAGTCAGGTGCAATAAGATATTGCATGGTTAACATCTTGGTGAGATCAACTAAAATTTTGGAGTATGTCTTCAAAGTTCGGAACTAGGAGCCGTCACATCTATATTTTTTGAAAATTTTAATGCTCCTTCGAGGACCATTCACGTTTGTTGCACACTCAGTGCCTGAACAGCATATTCTGCCCACTTCTCAAGTTACTTATTTCGTTGTTTAAAAGTTCTGCTTAGGTGTGAACATGGTGATATGTTTGACAAGCGAAAAACCAACATGAAGAGCACTTGGCAGGAGATAAATAACATCCTGGGTGAATGTAAAAGGGCCAACATTCCTGCTGGATGTCATGACGACGACTAGGTTAACTCACAATTCCAATACATCGTGTTTATTTCTTGCACCAACTTAAGTATTTGAAATAATTGATATTGCCAATAAGCTTGGCAAAAACACCAGTTGCAGCTTTGATGATGTCAGCTCCTTTATCGTGAAGTCATTTCGTTTATTGCACACCCCCTTGCACACATATTTAATCTTTCTTTTCTTACGGGTCTGGCCCTTCAAATCTTAAAGATTGCAACGATTACTCCTGTTGATCAAAATGGAAATAATAAGGACATTCATAACTTCTGACCTATTTCTGTTCGCCTTTAGTTCTCAAAACTTCTTGAGCAGCCTGGTTACAACCGGTTGTCAAAATTCCTTTCTCAATTCAAGTTTGGCTTTCGTAGCAATCACTCTACTGACATGACTCTCATTCTCTTTACTGACCTTATCTCTAGTTCTTTGTGTGTTAAGTTTTATGCCGTCGCGGAGTTCATCGATCTAAGACTTTCGATACCATTGATCGCTCTATCCTCCTATCCAAACTGAATTTCGATGGCGTTAGGGGGTGTGCGCTCAGTGGTTTGAGGATTATCTTGATAATCGCTACCAGTGCACTATACAATGGAGGGCTGCAACTCATCTCTGAGCCGTGTAATGTATGGTGTTCCCCAGGGTCCTGTACTTGGGCCACTCCTTTTTTTTTTATTTATGTCAACGATCTGTACTATTCAAGGAACAACAAACTTCATT